AACTAGATAGTAGACAAGAATTATCTTAGGTGAAGGGAAGGACAACACACAATACAGGAGAAGTCAGCACAACTGGACTAAAGCAAAAGCTAAGAAGCTTCCTGAATACAACCAAACACTTTGAGGGACAGAGTAACTGGGGCTGGGGCCTGGGGACCATGGTTTCAGGGGACATCTTGGTCAATTAGCGTAACAGAGTTTATTAAGAAAATGTTCTGCATCCCACTTTAGTGAGTGGCGTCTGGAGTCTTAAAAGCTTGTTAGCAGCCATCTAAGATGCATCAGTTGGTCCCAACCCACCCAGAACAAAGGAGAATGAAGAACACCAAAGACACAAGGAAACTATCAGCCCAAGAGACAAAAGGTCCACGTAAACCAGAGACTCCATCAACCTGAGACCAGAAGAACTAGATGGTGCCCAGCTACCATCAGTGACCACCCTGACAGGGAACACAACAGAGAGTCCCTGACAAAGCCAGAGAAAAGTATCGCACAGAACTCTAAATCACGTAAAAAGACCAGACTTAATGGTCTGAGACTGGAGGAACCCCCAGAGCCATGGCCTCTGGACCCTCTGTTAACCCAGAACTAAAACCATTCCTGAAACCTACTCTTCAGGCTAAGATTAGGTATAAAATATAGAATAGTACTCGTGAAGAGCGTGCTTCTTAGTTCAGTCAGATACACGAGACCAAATGGGCGGCTCCTGTCTGTAGGCAGGAGGAGAAGGCAGGAATGGACAGGAACTGGTTGAATGGACACAAGAAACCTGGTGGAAAGTGGGAGCATGCTGTTTCCTTATAGGGATTGCAGCTAATGTCTAAACAATATGTGTATAAATATTTGTATGAGAAAATTGACTTGAGCTGTAAACTTTCACCTAAAGCACAGTTAAAAAAAAAAAAAAATGATGGTTTTGAAGGAAGAAGTCCATGCTGTACTGAAGGCATTGATGAAAACAAGGCTCTAGAAATTGACAGAATACCAGTCGAGATGTTTCAACAAAGGTGCAG